CTGTTTGTCACACATCTACACCCTGGTCAGGGAGGACACAATTGCCCTTAAAAACTGAGGTATTTCATGCACAGCTATCAAAAAAATGTCCTTGTCATTGGTCAACAGAGAGGGCAGGATTCCACTAATGCTTAACTTGCAACTCGTGAAGCTGCCAAGTGATGTGTTTGTATAGCATAGGACACAGCGGGTCAAGGTTACCGGAAGGAGATTTCTCCGAATATTCACACTGAAATTTTATGTTCCTTTCTGTTTTCTCAATTCTGAACTTTTAGTTCTGTGCAATAGAACATCTTGGTAACTGTTGCCTGCATTCCAACGCCCTAGAACAACAACATCAACAAATTGCTGCTATTATAGCACATTTGGACATTATTCTAATGGGGATTATAAATTATATGCTAATGCTTCTTCTGCAAAACAAAACTGAAGATGACAAAACCAGGTATAAAGACAACCAAAAGACGGCAAAATAAAAACTAGAAAATCACATGGAAGACTGTACACTACAATTTATGAAGTTCTGTCATGTGGATTTTGCATACCACAGTGGAACAAGTAGAGTCTCCATAAACAAACAAAATCTATGGTCTTCAAAATCTCAGAATGAGATCCCATTTGGGAGGGCTTCTGGCAAGATAATTCTCTAAGGGTGTTATAAATAAGATACTTGCAGATTTAGGACAGACCCAAATCCAAACACTGGAGTCTTGATGAAGGGCAGCAAAGGAGGCAATGTGAACACCAGGACAAAGAGGGGAGAAGGCAGTAGAAGTAGAAACGGACACGGATAATAGAGCTGTCTGTCTAAAGGACTCAAGAAGTGTCTGAAGCTGGTAGAGTCAGGTTATAAAACGTCTTTAGGCTCACTTAAGGAGAGAAAACAGAATAGGAGCTGGAAAGATGGTTCTGTGGTTAAGAGTATTGGAGCTCTGGTCCAGCACACCCCATGTCAGCCAGTTCACACTGACTATTTCCTGTCCATGGGTCCGATAAAGAGACTCAGACCCCAAAGTCAGCCCCCAGTACCACACCTTCAAACGAAGCCACACCTGCTAATCCTGCTCACATTCTAGCGACTGGAATTAAGGCATTCAACAAATATATTAGTCTATGGTGGTCATTTCTCATTCATACGACCTCATTCTACTACTCCCCAGTCGCCATAGGCTTCTAGCCATGTCAACACAAAACACGTTTATTTCAACTTCAGAAGTCACCATAGTATTTTCAGTCTCAACATAGTTTAAAAGTTCCAAGTCTTCTAAAACTCAAGACAATCTCTTAATTGTAACCCCTTATAGAATCAAACAGCGGATTACATATTTCCAACATAAAATGCGCATTCTCATTTCAAAAGAAAAGATTGGGGAGCAGTGGGGAAACCCTGGACCATGGTATGACCAAATTGGAGGGGCTCACACACCAAACATGTAGTTCCATAACTGGTATCAAATGGCTTTAATGGCTGGTTCCACTCCCTGTCTGCAGCTTTTCCTGACAGACTTCCTACAGCTCTGGCACCTCCAACAAAAGATAGGCTTCACTGACAGATTCAGACAGCATCCTCCCAGGGAAAACCTGCCACATGCTGGGCTTCAGCGACTCTCTGTAACCAGAGGAAGATGCCACGGTCCTTTATACTTGTACATTTTTCATGATTCTAAAGCCAGAAGCACATGACTGATGTTGCACCTGATTATTGCAAAAATGTTGCAATATTTGGCCATCGTTGGATGCAACGTGACCCTTCCTTGAATTACATTTGCATAATCTTTGCTTCACCGTTTTTCGGAACATAAAAATTCCCCAGGCATTTACTTCTCGTAAGTTAGAAACATGACTGAGTGTGGTCCTATCCCCTTAGGGAACCCCTCCTATTCCATCTCACAGCAAGCTTCTTACACTTCATTCACAGCACAAGGCTTGATTCCAGAATTAAATTTAAGATCCTTTATTTGGCATGTGAAATGAGAAAATAGTTATTAAAAAAATAAATTAAAATAAAGATCCTTTCTTAAACTATCTCCCTTCCACCCCAACAGCGTGCTCCCATCCACTGCAGACTTAAAGATTACTAATAACCAAGAGAATCAATATCAGGCTATCTTTAAAATCTCCTTTGCCAATGAAATTAGTCCAAAGCTTTTTAATTTGACTTCAGGCAGATTTTAAGAACAAGGGCAGAGAGCAGTCACATCCTTTGCCAAAATATCACAAGAATGGGCTTAGCTCAGCTGCTCGTTCCTCTCCAAAACCTCTTGAGCAGAGCTTCTGTAGTATACGTTTATTCTCAGGGCTACTGCCTACCAGGCTCCTGCTAGTAAAACCACACAACTGTTTACCTAGTCCGAAGTCCCAAAGCTTTCCACGTTTCTCCCAAAACCAGCACGGTAAAGTTTATCACACGAACAGCCCAACTATCTCAGGTGCTCTTCAGTCACCGTGGCAAAAGAACATAACCAAGACAGCTTACTGAAAAATAAAGCTTTCCTTGGGGGCTCACAGTTGCAGAGCCCATAACTATTATCTCAGCGAGCATGGCGGTAGTCAGCAGGCATGGTGCTGGGGCTGGCGCCGAGAGCTCACCCCCTCCCCTCATCCATATGGCAGAGAATAACTGGAAACTGCGTGGACTTAAAAACCTCAAAGCACAACCCCCTCCAAGACCACAAATCCTAATCCTTCAAAAGATCTGGCACCTCTCAAGACTAAGTTCAAATATATGAATCTATGGAGGCCCTTCTCATCCAAACCACTACAAGAAGCTTGGCAGGACACATGAATCTCTCTCTGGAGGGAGGGATGTTGCTGCTGAATGATGCAATACAGTGGCCCTGGCACGGGAAATACAATCAGTAAAAGCTTTTACAATCTAGTGAGACAATATCATTCATAATCTAGCCACACTTTCACACAATTTTCCTGATCAAGGGGACATGGGGGGAAAAGTCAGCGTGATTGTTGAGCAGAGTTGTATGTTTGTTTGCTCTGGTTTTGTTTTGCTTTTTAACATAGGGTCTCATGATGTCGCCAGGTCTTTCCTGGACCGGTGGGGACTTCCTCCTGACCTCGCTTTTCCAGTTCTGGGATTACAAGAACATACCACACTTGGGAGTCTGAGTAGCTCATGGTGCGTGTTCACAGGGTAGAGCTGATAGTCCGTATGCACAGTAGAGCGCAGGATACTGAAAGTACGCGTATCTTAGGGCAAATATGGGAAAAACGTCACGACCAAAAGTAACTTGTGAAGGAAAGGGTTCATTTTCTCTTTTCCGGGAGGCAACACAGTGGCTCATACCTACCAATCTAAACTCCTTAGTCTGAAATCTTTAAAGAAAATGGTTTGGTTTTGACCAATTTGCTCACAGGGAAGAAGACAGTGCCCAAAAAACAACCGCAGAATACCTTTGTTGTGTGTGATATTTTACTATTTTGACTTTTTGGGCTTTTTTTTTGGGGGGGTCTACCACCCAGTTCCCAAATAAATGACAGAGGTTTATTCCTAGTTATGGATGCCCTGTCTTAGCTTGGCTTGTTTCTTTCCAGCTCTTCTCAACCTAAAATATCTCAACTACCTTTACACCTCGGGGCTTTTATCTTTGTTTCTATATGCATTTCTTTCCTTCTTACTCTGTGTGACTGGGTGGCTTGGTGGCTGCCCCCTCTGTCCTTTTCTCCTTGTTCTCTTGCTCTTCATAAATTTCTCCTTTTATTTCTAGTCTCTGCCTGCTAGCCCCAGCTGTCCTTTTCTCCTGCCTCACCATTGGCCGTTCAGCTCTTTATTAGAACCATCAGGTGTTTTGGACAGGCCACGAGTCACAGCTTTGCAGAGTTAAATACAGCATAAACAAAACTCACACAGCTTAAAACCACATTCCCTAACACTATAGATATGTGTTTATATGATCTTTGAAGGTCTCTTCATCCCAATAAAGCTATAATCATTCTGTGTTTCACATGGTGGTAGGAGGCAGGGGCTCGTTCAAGTGAATGCATGCGTGCAATTCATTAGAAAGACAGTTATTGTCTACCCATTTTATGTTTTAGAGGGAGGTGGGTACCTGTAAGTTCTGTGACCCATAGGGCTTATTTTAGGAAAATAGACATGTGAAACTTAGATTGCCTAACGCAGTAGAGATGTTCAAATTTAAATGACTCTTTGGAAGGTTCCATAAAATCTGTCAAGTAACTAGTACGTAGAATATACTTTGAGAAGTCCTGGACTGGCAAACACTGACCACTGCCTGTTCTCATTAGACCTTAACATCTCACATGTGGAGTTACACTTTCTGGAACTGACATGGTAAAAACACGGTGAAAGAAACACCGTGACGGCCACGGCGATTTGAGAAGTGTCTGTTCATAGGCTCGCGTGTTTGAACCCGGGGTCCCAGCAGACAACACTGTTTGGAGAGGTTACAGAACATTTAGGACACGAACCCTTCGTGGAGGAAGGAAGTCACCTGAAGCAGGTTTTAGATAGTGGCTTCTCCCACTTCTAGTGTGTATGCCCGCCCCACCTCATCCCCTCTCTGCCTGCTTGTGTGTTAAGATGGATTGCTTAGCTTTCTGCTTCTTCTCCCACGTCTTCCCCACCATTATGGACATCTAGCTCTAGAACAGTAAGTCAACTTAAACTTTAAGTTGCCTTTGATCATAGTACTGTAGTAGGCTACTGAACTATAGTTATTCTTAGGAATACGTTTATGAACAAGTGTACTTTAAGTGTTAAACTATCTTTGGTAAAACTGGTCTGTGGACCAGCCCTAAATTCCTACACAAAGTGATCTCTGCTAGAGCTTAACTGCTTGACAACTGCTGTCTCTTCGCTTCTTTTTTTTAAATTTATTTGTTGTTAAAGATTTCTGTCTCTTCCCCACCGCCGCCTCCCCTTTCCCCCTCCCCCAATCAAGCCCCCCTCCCTCATCAGCCCAAAGAGCAATCAGGGTTCCCTGCCCTGTGGGAAGTCCAAGGACCACCCACCTCCATTCAGGTCTAGTAAGGTGAGCATCCAAACTGCCTAGGCTCCCACGAAACCAATAGGTACAGTAGGATCAAAAACCCATTGCTATTGTTCTTGGGGTCTCAGTAGTCCTCATTGTCCGCTATGTTCAGCGAGACCAGTTTTAACCCAGGCTTTTTCAGACCCAGGCCAGCTGGCCTTGGTGAGTTCCCGATAGAACATCCCCATTGTCTCAGTGTGTGGGTGCCCCCCTCGCGGTCCTGAGTTCCTTGCTCGTGCTGGATGGAAATAGAAAACACTATCCTGAGTGAGGTAAGCCAGACCCAAAAAGAGGAACATGGGATGTACTCACTCATATTTGGTTTCTAGCCATAAATAAAGGACATTGAGCCTATAACTCGGGTTCTTAGAGAAGCTAAATAAGGAGAACCCAAAGAAAACATATAGGCATCCTCCTGAATATTAACCTTCATCAGGCGATGAAAGGAGACAGAGACCCACACATTGGAGCACCAGACTGAAATCTCAAGGTCCAAATCAGGAGCACAAGGAGAGAGAGCTCTCTGCTTCTTTAAACAATGTTTGCTGCAGACAACCTGATCTGCCCTTCTGTAAGTAACACAATTGCATTCTCTTTCCCTTAAAAACCCAAGCCAACCGGAGGTCTAAGATGTTTCCCCTTAATCTGTTTGGGACCATCCTGCATCAGTTAAGATTTCACTTGACTTCTTCAGGTCTCTTGGGAGTTTTTCCCTTCAAGGACTTCCTAACAGTACTTTAGGACCACAACAGCAGAGTAAATACTACAGCTACGCACTAATAATTATTGATCGGTGATAGAGTGTTTTAACTTTCTCACAAGAAGCAAGAAAAGTAGATTAAGTTTTCACGGGAGTCTCTCGCGTTAGAGGAAGAAGAAACTTGAGTTTGTTGGGGGTTTCTTTCGTGGCTCCGAGTAGCAAGCCCATTTCCTTAAGATATTGCGGTGCAGAGCACCCTGCCCATCTGCGCTCTATGCGCTACCATACAGTTCGTGAACCACGCAAGGGGCTGGAGATTGAAACATACAAAGAAAGACAGACAAAAAGACAGGTTGTGCTTGATGCTAGAATGCCCCCTTTAGTGTGTCCAGGGGCAGCTTTTATAGAGATAGCCACGCCCCCAGCCAAACACACCAGAAACCATTCCCCTGCCATCAGGAACTCCCGAGGGTCTCGTGCTCAGAGCAGCTGTAGGCACTCAGATCAGGGGAAAACAAGTTGTTTACAAGAAATTCAGCATCTGGGGGTTCACAGCTTCCAACACTGTGGTGTGGTTCAAAATGAGAAGGGCGCCTTAAAAGTTTCCTTAATTTTTAAGCCTTGATTGAAATGTTTCTGCCATGATGTACCTTTTCCGTGGAACCCCTATCACCTCAGGAGGTGTCTGCTCCTGAATTTCATCCTGCAGATGTTCACTATGCTACATCTTTGCCTCCACTGTGTTTTCCTATCTCAGTGAAATCTGGTGTTTTCATTGCATTCAACATACACTCAGAATTGCTACTGTCTGTTTACCCTGTTTGGTTGTTCTTTGTATCAGTTATCTGACAACTTGTTAAAAGTACACACAGATGGCCATGGGCATGCCTCTGAGCAAATACACTTGTTATCATGGAAAGCCGTCTGAATTCTCTACCCAGGACCCATGTGGTAGAAGGAAGAAACGAACTTCTAGAAAATGTCCTTTGACAACATAAAAAAAAAAAGTAAATGAAGACTATGTTAAAACACCATCCACTTAATTTTTTTTAGAAAGAAAACTACTTCAAAAATCTAGAGGATTGACGTTAAGAACAGAGGTCGCATTAAGTCAAAAGACTTTAGGGAAACAAGTAATTTCTTGAATTTCTCTGACAAACATCTGTAGGAAAATAACTACAAAATAAAAAATCCACTGCAGGAATGCTAGATTCCAGAGCACTGCCTCCCAGAAATAACCAACTGTTAAAGTAATTCATATCCTCTACAAATTTGTGAAACAAATGTTTTAAAATAATTATAGACGAAATTTCATTGAAAGTGTTGAATATTTGATTTGACAATTAGTATGCAGCTCCGTCTCTGCAAATCAGCATCCTCAAAGTTATAAGCAAACACGTCTTCTAGTCAGACTCACTGACTCTAGAAACCCTGACTAAATCCACAGGTTCCTCTAGAGGACTGCTTGCATCGTGGCTGGGAAAGAAAGTGCTGGGATGTCACTTTTGTCAGAGGCAGGGGAGAAAGCCAGGGTTGAATGAAGGTATTTGGCAACTGCAATTAGCTAACCATTTTTGTTGTAGTTGTTGCTTTTCTGATGCTAAATTAAAATGCAATGACTAAAGCAATTTGAGGGGAAATGGATTCATTTTTACCCTCAGAGGTGGGAAGATCAAGGCATCAGGTGATTGCTCAAAAACAAGTGGTCAGATTGTGCTGTTGGCATTAAGAGAACATGCTGGCCTTCAGCTCACGTTCTCCACTACTGTCCGGTCCAGCATGCCCTACCTAGGGAATTGGTGCCGCTCACACTGGGAAAGTCTTCTCACTTCAATTAATACAGTCAATATAATATCCTATAGAGATACCCAGGGACCAGCTTCTTAGTTGGTAATAAGGTCTGCCAACTTGATAATGAATATTAACCATCATTTTGTCTTATTGGGAATCGCAGAGATATTGTAATGTTTTATTTTAGGAGTAGAAGAAAAGAAAACTTCATGTAATCAGAATTACTTTTAAAGCAGATTCATACTATCACGCACCTTAAGACCTGAAGTAAAATAAATACTTTGAAAATATTTATATACTGCATCTTTTAAAAATAATTTCATTTACTTCTGATTTGAGTTACTGAAAGCTGTGTCAAAGTTGTTTACCAGCTCTGCTTCACGAGCACGTGTTGCCTTGGCCTTGAGGATCAGAGGATAAGGTTTTCACCTGTTGGCCCACCTGACCGTTGGGTATATAAGCTTCCGTGGTGCTATTGAATAAGGGGCTTCTTACCAGTGACTAGAGGTCCGTGTCTGTTTTCTGTCTCTATATGTTTCAACCTCCAGCCCCTTGCCCGAAGCTTAGGAACTGTATGGTAGCGCATAGAGCACAGACAGGCGTTGTGAGCAACACCTGGTATTTCTGTAACTGAGACAAAGGAGACAAATACAGGAAAAAACTATTCATGTGATTGTGATCGCTTATACCGAGAAAAGAGTAGAATTCATTAATGTGTCCTGGTGGAAAACCTTTCACCGCTAGTAAGAATACATCAAATGACTCAGCTAGCTAAGACCCTGTAGATGTGCATGAGCAAAGCTCAGGAACGCTAATATTGAGACCTGTACAAACTATGGGTGGGGCTCCTATGGCTCCAACAGAATAGTAATAAGATATAAATTTGAATATATTAGATGATCTATTTTATTGCATGGATTTTTCTTTGGGATTAAAATGCTGTCGTTGGAAGTGAGCACGCTCTGTCTGACATTCACGCAGGTCTGTGTCTCGTGCCTCTTGGCATCTGAGCTCTGCTGCAGCTGTCCTCTTCACACAGGTGCCTCTTCTCATAGACTTTGTTTTTCATAATGCCGCCTCCGAGCCCCGTTTCAGTTTCCTACAGCCACAACGTAGTCTATCACCTTATTTCTCAATTGTTTTAGTATTTCCTTGTTATTTCTCTCTCTCTGCTACTCCTAGCCTCATGAAAGAATTTGTCTCTGCATATCACTTCAATCCTGCATTTTCCAACCCTGCTTGTGACACAAGGGTCACATCTGAGTGAAGGAAATCCTATAGGACAAGCCGAAGTAGCCTTGGAGCCAATGCAAATGAGCAGCCACTAGCATCTGTAGTTGCTGTACTGTTGTGTTTGTGGTGTTGAGACTGAACCTCCGACACGTGAGGCGAGCAGATGAGTCATGTGCTGGATCTCCAGGCATTATTCTAATACACTGTTTTAAATAATCCCCACTGTTAGCCAAAATGATGGCATTTTCTAAAACATGGCCTATACTTAAAATATCTAAAATGAATTAAACAGATAAAGAATGTAGATAATTGTAATCATTTGATTTATGAATGTATGCGGGACAGGATCCCTGTGTGTCCTCATGATTTTTATCATATTAACTTAGGTACATTTCTCCCCATTTGACTGGTCACTGTGCCAGATGCTGAAGGAAGTATGGAGCTCTGAGACTTATGTTTGCACTATGCATTGCTTCCTGCAGATACCACTGCAACCACCATCTGTGTCAGCTTCATATCCATGCAATTAAAAAAATGAAAATCAAAGTCAAATAAACAATCATAAAATGAATTCACGTACTGAACAAGACAATTTGAGGTATTTTTAGTTGTTCAAGTGTATAAAATATCCTTTTACAGAGAGGAGAATCGGTAGAGGTATGATCTAATCATTGGGATTCAAGCTGAAGTCTGCATAGAGAAGGGGCATAGATGTCACATGAGGAAATGCTTGGCTTACATACCAGCTCTATTAATGAACAGCTTGTGTTGCCTTGGCAAGGCTGGTTCTCAGAGGACTAAGCACAGGAGCAAGCTGCTTGCCAAACTCAGGAGGCTGAAGCCTGGGGAGGTTGTTGGGTCTGGAATTTTCAGGACAGTCTGGAGAGAAAACTCATCTCAAAAACAAGAACAAAACCTGGATGACAGATTATTAATAGTCTAATTAATTTTAGTGAAAAATAGTGATTCCAGCAGAGTTCCTGGCATAGAAAAACCATTTCAAAGATAGTTTCCTTTTGTTTCTACAATTAGTAAGTTTTCTGTAATCATTTTTACAGGTAGCTTTACAAACATAAGGCATTGATAAATTAATCTTGAGAATTAAGAAGTGATAGTTGGATTAAGAAATGTTCATGTACCTGACCCGTTAGTACCCAGCTCATGGCAGTATTTAAGTGGTGAGCTCACAGGAAGAAGGAGGGAGGTCACTGAGGCTGGACTTTGGAAGTTTTACCTTTTCCTTGTTCCTTATTCTGTGCTTGATCTGCTTTATGTGTACCAAGGCATGAACAATATCTTCCATTACACATATGCACACACATACATGCAGACTACTTTGACCAGGGTGTTCTGCATGGGGCCCAGATTCAATGCAGCAAAGCCCTATAGAGTGAATGTGCTAAAATTATGTGTTCAAATGAACTCTTTCTCTTGCTAAGTTGTTCTTTCGATATCTTTGTCAAAGTGGCAATCAAGAAACTTTATCTTAAACTCATCACTTAATTCTCCAAATTTTGATACAAATGTATCTTTATAGGCATTACCCAGTATCCCTATGGTTTTCTCTGGGAATCTGTAGAACCTCATGTTTCCCAGAGTCCTATACTCCAAATGCCATTGGATGCCTTCTTGAAGTCAAAATAAGTTTCTTCCAAATTCTTCAGATTTTTCTGCCAACCCAATGACATCCCACCTGAAGTGACTGAGCTCATGCAAGAGCAAGCTGGTTCCCCCCGACTTTGTTTAGTGTTCTCACCTTCCAGGTCCCTATTGTGGGAACTCTTTTCAGCCTGAGGAAGTTCTTTCCTGTCCATTTCTGTCAGCTCCCCTTCACCCTTTCGGCTTTGAGAAGCATCATCTGTCCTGTGCTCAGGACTTGGAGGCACTGGGGCACTGTCAGATTCTGGGACTTTAACCCAGGTGTGTCTGTTGAACTTGTCCATATTGGACATCATAATCTGAGTTGATAAGGACGACTGACCAGGTCTCTTCCTCTTCTGTGGCAGCCTTTAGCCAACCAGCTGAACCTCTTTCCACCCAAATACTAAATTCCCCAGGCTTCTAGAGGACCTAGCTGGTTGTTTCCAGTCTCACCGTTGAGCAGGCAGCTATCAGAAGTTTGTAACATTGCTGACGATAATTGTGCTTCTTAAATGTTTTCCAAAAATTGTGCATTGTGAAATAAAATCTTTATAAAAGTTTTTAAATATAATTTTGTATTTTTTGATAATTTTAATATTTTCTCAATTATACACAATACATTTTTAAATTTTAACTGAAGGAAGGACTAATTTTAGCTCATTTTACTGCTTGATTAATTGTTTTCTTATTTCAGCAATTCCCAGAGTATGGAGAGGAAGCCCAGGATCCTGGTATATGCTAGGCAAGCAATCTATACATAAGCTACATCATCAGGCCATTTTTGAAAAAAACATTAATGGCCAATGTATCATGTTAATCCTGGAAAAATTTATCTTTAAAATGAATGTTGATTGAAACTTTACCACAAGTTGCACCAATAACCAAGAAAAGCAGGTTTCATAATAAATTTGTTTAAAATATTTGCAATTTAGCCGGGCGGTGGTGGCGCACGCCTTTAAACCCAGCACTCGGGAGGCAGAGGCAGGCAGATCTCTGAGTTCGAGACCAGCCTGGTCTACAAGAGCTAGTTCCAGGACAGGCTCCAAAGCCACAGAGAAACCCTGTCTCGAAAAACCAAAAAAAAAAAAAAAAATTTGCAATTTATACCTCAAATTTCAATGTAATTTAATTTATAATGTGTGTTTTAGTAAATACAGAAATATAATAATAGTAAGCATTTCTGCACAAACACCGTGTTCTACAGCCAGACTGAGAAAGACCCTGGGGTCCTGGTCATGTGATAGCTACCACGCTGTTCTGGGGCCTTTGTTTCCTTATTCACAGGATTTGTAAAATAAGCTACAGCCGCGCCCACTGTCCCAGGATGCCTTTTTCCCCCCCTTTGGGAGGTAATAAAGAAAAACTTCTACAATTACTCAGAAGTAGCAACATGACTTGAAATCAATAGTTTCTTTCCTGCTTTTTCCTGCAGTCCACCATCATTGCTACTAAACACACCTGTGCTTGGTCTTAAAGAGATGGTGGAGAACTCCAACTTGTCTAAGTTAAAACCCAGTTATGGGATTCTTTCTCTTTCTAGAGTCCCATCTATGGAAACGAAAGAAAATAGCAGCAACAAAAGGTACTTTCAATATAGTGATTTAACCTGTCGGCTGTGGTGAAGGGTTGATGCTTCTTTGCTTGGAACTTGAAGCTTTGTAGGAAGGAGTTGTTTCCCAAATGTGATAGACCTTATGATATAAATAGAGATGAGTTTGCCTTTCTTCAAAGCACAGCCCCAGTAGACCTGGGGAGTTATTGGCTGGTGTTTCTGGGCAGACATCGTGAAAGGGGTATGGAGGTTGGGACACTAAGCAAACAAGCGGGAAGTAAATAACAATAAGTCATTCTAGGGCTGGAGAAGATGGCTCGGTGGTTTAGGAGTATGTCTTAATTACAGTTTACAATTGCTGCTAAAAGACACCATGACCATGGCAACTCTTATAAAGAAAATATTTAATTGAGGGGTTTGCTTGCTGTGCAGTGCTTCAGTTCACCATAACCAGAGGCATGACGGCATACAGTTCATCATAACCACAGAGGCATGGTGGCGTACGGGCAGTCATGGTGCTGGAGAAATACCGAGTGTCCTACATCTTTCAGGCAATAGGAAGTCAGATGAATGACTGTCAACATCGAGTGAAGTTTCAGAAAAAATGCTTCACAACCCACCCCCATAGTGACACACTTCCAACAGAAAAAGATTAAAGGTGTACCCTCCAGACTCAAGGTCTGGATTAGAGGTGTGTGTCATCCAGCTTCCTTCAGCAAGGCATTTCCCCCATCAGGCCACAGCTCCTAATAGTGCCACTCCCTATGAGTTTCTAGGGGGCAAATACATTCGAGCTAACAGTATTTGACGTTTTTCAAAAGGATCTAGGTTTGGTTCCCAGTATAACATGGATGTTCAAAAGAGTCTGTTCCAGGAAATCTGATGCTGTCTTCTAGGCTTATTGGGTATGATGATGTGTGATGCAGGACATACATGAACACAAACAGTTACACATATAACAAAAGGAATAAACTCTTAGACATGGATATTGACATCTCTGTAGTCCCAGTTCTCTGGAGGCAGAAATAGTAGAGTCTCCAGTATAAGACATCTTGGGTTCGGCCATTCCTCAGTCAGTAGTCAACCAATCAATCAATCATCAGACCATGTCAAGGATCTGAGCAGCTAAGAGCTTCTAAAAAATATTTGAATAGGAATTTCAACTTCACTCAGAATCAGCATCTCAAAGTTAAGAACACTAGAGCATTTATGGCTGGCAACTTTCCTACTAGCTTAGTACTTTCATGTCTGCTGCAATATGTAATTGTTAAATTAAAAAAGGTAAACAGTTGACTTGGGAGGTGGAGGCAATAAATGTAGACAATAAAGCATATAATGGAGTAGATTGTTTGTAAAAGGAAGAGTGGCTTGTGTCATTTCTATCGAATGTCCAGATCTAGCCCAACCCCATTTCCAGCAAATACTTTTTTGTCTCTGTTCTCACAGTATTGTCTGTTCTCCTGAAATCTCAAAAGAAGATCTAGAGAGCAATGATTTGCTCTAAAGATTCTCTAGTTTTCATGATTAAAGCTCACATGAACTCAGAGACTGAAACAGCCTGTACAGGGTGTGCACCATCTGCACCAGATCCTCTGTGTATGTATTATGAATTCCAGTTTGGTGTTTTTATGAAATTCGTGAGTGTGGGAACAAGAGGGCCTCTGTTTTTCATGCTTTCTCTTGGCCTCTCTTTTCTTCTGTTTATTTTGTCCAATTCCAACACGTCAGTTTTTATTTTCTTACTATATTGTTTTATTGTTATCCATTAGAAAACTGTTTTCTAATGAAAGACAGAAAGGAGTGAATTCAGATGAGAGGGGGAGGTAGGCGGTAACTTGAGGGAGTAGAGGGACGGGAAACTATAATCAAGATAGATTATGTGAAGGAAAATGTCTATTTTCAACAAAAAAATTCTGTTTCACTTCTCTATGCTTCACATTCTTGACATTCTGTTACTGCACACCAGGGTGGAAGAATGTTTTGTCTCCAGGATTCCCAAAGATGGTTTCTGGGATCCTTCATGCTGATAATTCATTAAAATTTGAATCTTCGAAGTATGAACCTCAATTTTCCCTCTAGCAAATTTACTCAGTAATATATATATAGTTACATGCACATATAGTTACATGCAGTTGGAATTTGAGTTTGGAAGATTAACCAGAGATCATTGCTTTCATCTACATAGTCCTTGAATCTATTACAATACCTAAATGTTATCACTAGGTCTTCTACTTTGAGTTAGAGTATGTTTTCTCAAGAGCTGTGTAAACTTTCCAATATAGGAGCTGAGATACAGCTCAGGACAGAGAGCTTGCCCAGCACACATGGGGCACTTGGTTCCATCCCTAGCACTGAAAAGTAAATGAAGGGAATAGATGGGAAGGGGGAGGCATTGAAGAACAAGGGAGGGAGAGACAGAGATTTTAAGATTTATATTGGAATATAGTGTTCTGGCTGCACATATGTCTGCAGGCCAGAAGAGGGCATCATATCTATTATAGATGGTTATGAGCCACCATGTGGTTGCTGGGAATTGAACTCAGGACCTCTGGAAGAGCAGCCAGTGCTCTTAATCTCTGAGCCATCTCTCTAGCATGGACTGGGTGTGTGGCTCTCAGCAGAACCAGCCCCATTCAGTGACTTCTTTCTCCAGGAACATTTCAGTTCTTGTTCCTCCGAGAACGTAAGAAATTCTTACTTGGAGAGAGTAAACTTGTTTTATAAACTCGTCTTTAGGAATCCCTACCCTAATAGAAAAGCTTTATTGGAATTAAGCAGTTAAACGCAAATGTCTGTGAAACTTGTCCTCTATTGATTTATTTGATGTCTTGTGTGTTGAATATAAAAGCACAACTTGGCGAGTCAGAGGGTTTGATTTGGCTCACTCTTCCAGCAAACAATCTGTGGCCAACACGGTCAACCCTCAAGTTACTGATGTTCAGCTCTGAGCTAGTTAAAAGGATTGCCTGGCTAAGAGTGTAAGATGAGTGCTGATAGGCCGGGGCTAGTAATCAGGACACATAAAAGGCAGCACAAAGATATCTGGGAAAGTAGATACTGTCACGAGCCTAGCAAACCTGTGCGCTCCTAAGACACCTCAGTACCATGAGTGGGTGCCCGTTTTTAGGAAACAGTGTGGGGTAAGTGTTTATCTCTGTTCCAATGAAGGGGGCCTCCCCAAACCCAGCCTATAAGCAGGAAATTTTCTAGACTTAGATTGCCTTACTTATTTATTATTATATTCACTTATTAATAAACCACAGGAAAAAATAGTAATAGAATCATAATGGCTTATATTGTGGTCACTGTGTTTTCCAAGCTCCTCTTTTGTGTCGTTTGCAACAACTACAGATATTCTTTGAAAAACTTATCTATAGAAGACAGTGAAGAAGACAAAGCTCAAAATGGCGTAAACAGAGCCAGCAGAGGCGGGCTTATCTATGGGAGCTACCTGCAGGTAGGTGGCAAGGACTCTAGCCACCAACGTCAGCTTTCCTTGCCTGTCTTTTCTCAACCATCAATAGTTTTCTGAACCTTAGGACTCAGCTACTCACAACTTATCTAAGCCTTTTCAAATCTGCTGCAGCAAATTAAGGGCTGAAGTGTGCCTCCCTAGAAAAGGCACGGTCAGAGCTGAAAGTACTATATCTAGGCAGAAGGTTGTGACAAACTACAGTGCAGATGGTAGACGGGCATTGCTCAGCATGTATGCAGAGATGTGGTTAGAATCCCAGACGACCTTAAAGTCTTCAAATTACTCATCACAAAGTGGAAACATTGAAGGTATACAGAACTTTCTCGAAATCACCAGTAAATAAAGGGGAGCTTCCAGCTAGGAATTTAGAGGTCATCATGGTTGGCGTTCGGTTTAAAAATTTAAGAAGAAAAATGGTTAGAGTTCTGGTTGCCTCTTTTGATGACTTTGTAAGCATGATTGATAAGGAACATAGTGCCTTCCAGGAGCCTTTTGGAGGGAGGGAGAGGAGAGGGTTGCAGACTTGCAGCTGGCCACACAACGGGTCAACTCCCACCGCACTCACTTCAGGACGGTGGCGTTTGACAACCAGCATGGCAAATCTGCTCCTTATTAATGTGTCTTTCCAAAACTCCAGATCTGAAATCTCAAAATCCATCTTCTCATTTTTCTTTAAAGTTGGAAAAAATTTTGGATGCACAAGAACTTCAAAGTGAAATAAAGGGAAATAAAATCCACGATGAACACCTTTTTATTATAACCCACCAAGGTAAGCCGCAAGGGTCACACAGAGGGGACAACCGCTTCATCTGGAAGACATTAGACAACTAGACACACCTGAGCCTCTCTGAGCATCTGTCAGTCATCTTCATGGTCCTACCCTATCAGTTAGATTGCATGGGACTCCTGTTTTGTTCTGAATTCGGGAGAGACTTTTTGGCTCTTGAAATTTCACAAAGGATTTACAAGCTAAGAGGCTATTATATTTTGCTTTTATGGAGCATTAAAAACCCCATTTTCCTGAAGTAAGTCCTTTTAATTTACTACAAATTTAATTTGATTTAATTTCATATTTTTTGCTTAGATATTTTTAAAATTTTTATTAATTTTCTTTTATTTTACATCCAAACTCAACTGAAGTTTTTTTTTTCTCTGCCCATTCCTTCACCCTACCTCCCCTTTGCCCCCACACCGTCTCTGCTTCTACAAATATATATAGTTTTATAAAATTGCAGCATTAAACAAAACCACATAGTTTTGATATTTGGTAATATATTTCAGAACTCTAATTTCTGGATAGTCAGAAGGGCCTTGCACACTGAGATTACATGTCCATTTCCACAAATGCATATATTAATAGGCCCATGACCCCAAATATTAAGAATGCTTGCTGTGTGGTAGTCAGTTCTGTGTTGCGTTGTGTGTCTGTCCAGGAGCTTTGCTCTGGTCTACACACTCATAGACTTTGACCTTTCAACGAGTTCTTGTCCTTTGTTCAAATGGTTTCTTACTTCCCTGGGTAGCTAATATTAGAAATTTTTTAATGAAGAAATTAATGACAGAGTTGGCTCATTGTGTTATGTCTGTTTTGTATTTGTTTAATTCTTCCTTACATTTTTATTGGTGGCTCATACCAAGGTAAAATCAGTAAGAGAGGAACCCTGGCTAGTTAGCATGAATGAAATTTAATGATAATTTTGAATCCTATCTCTACTGTTGTGAATGACAGTCTTAGACTGCCTAGATTTCAGACCTCCATAATCAAATGAAGACAATTATTTTGTGATCCTACTTGTCTCCATGATGAGGAGATGAAATCATACACAGCAAACTTAGTCTAACACATAGTAAGCCTGTAATAGAAGGTGGATATTGTAATTCATTAGTGTCCACACTTTTAGTTACAGCTTGCTGGCAGTGCCTCATAGGACAACCCACACAAGGTTAAACCTGGGAAGAGACATAGAAAATGATCAGCAAACATTTGATTTCCTCATTATCTAAATATAAACATTGATTTTGCCAAATCTTAAGCATTATTTAAAAATGATATATCACAATCATAGCCTTTACCCATAGAATGGTATCACAGGTGATATAACAGGGACAACAGATTGTTAACTTGTGCTCATCTAAGTAGTACACTGTTGACTTAGTTCACTTATTCCTTAAGGAAACATCCAGTCACAAGCATTGTGCTGGTTACTGAAGGAAAACATAGATGGATGACCATGATGAAAATCCTTCTGCTGTGGGGTTGATATGCTATGTGAAGGACAGCTAATGGGAAAGAATTACTTTGCTTGCCCAAAACAATCTAGAAACACAAGACTGTCTTCCATGCCTGTCATGTTCTTACTATAAATATTGGGAGTCTGAAGCACAAGCTCCCATTTAAAGGAAGATAACGGTTTGATCACTTCACGAATGTATTGACAGGCTGACGTCAAAGAAAGGTCTCTATTCCAAACAATGTTTTAGTAACGAAATGTTTTAGGTTCTAACTATGCATCTTCTACTGGGCTTAGGCAGTAGGAACTTTGATTACTAGTTGTATTATTTGGTGACTCCCGAGGGAGGGGAAGGCAAGGTATTACAGACCAACCCTCTGACAGTCCTAACAGAGATGTTCTGGCAGAGTTCAGGCTTAAGTGATCTAGGACAGAAGTTGGGAACTCTCAGAGGATGTGCTGCCTGAGACTGACTCCCTCAGAAGACAAGGGGCCTCTCAGTTTGCAGTGATGAGCCTGGGGCCTCCCTGTTGCTGTTTGATCAGTCAGCCGTCTGCTGTCTCTTCTGTCTTGAGCGCACAAGTCCCTAGAAAGGTGCCAACAGTGAGCAGCCAAAACCCAAGAGTCCACAAGCAAACAACAAAACCTAGATTTACAAATATAAGACTGTACAGTCCTTCATTTAAGCTTGTGATTGCTAATTTCTCAGTGGAGGGACAAAGCAGAGGACCAGGCGTCCATGCAGGCAGTGAGAATGGGTTGTGTGTACTATCATAAAAGACCTAAAGAATTATTCTGTTGTCAGCCTCCTCAACAATAATGAAAAATGGAATAGAGAATAAAAGAGAATATCCAGTATATCAGAAAGTTAGGAAATAGAGATGATTAAAATTAACTGCTTCTTTCTAGTATAGAAATGGGTCCGTGATCATATTTTGTTAATTTTAAAGTTGCATGGGTGTATCTGTCATCTAATTATAGTCAGTCACCTGTAACTTTCTAACTAACTTTTTTTTTAAAAAAAATTACAGCATATGAACTCTGGTTTAAACAAATCCTCTGGGAACTCGATTCTGTTCGTGAGATTTTTCAAAACGGCCATGTAAGTTTCAGTGCCATTAAACTGCATCTGTGTGCCTTTTATAAGTGTGTACAAAGTGTGAAGTGGGCATTTTATCTCATATTTAGTAAAATACCAAAATCCCTAGCGAGTATTTGGAGATTCTTTCTGGGAAGCGGTTTCCTCATATTTTCAAAGTCTTGAAAGTGTTTTCAAATGATTCACTGCTCCCTTAAGATTTTTTTTTTTTTTAAGTAGAGTAGATTGTCAGGCTAACTCGTAATGATCCTATTGGAGGTAGCAGAATTTTACTTCTACTTAGCTTTACCTATGACAAGATAGGCTAGATGAGGGAAATGGAAAAGAGTGGGAAGAGGAAGAGAAGGGGGGGGGAAAAGGGTCGTAAGACAAAAGACGAGAGAAGACAGAATAGCGCCCAGCAGCTAGAAGAGCAGCTGCACCCACCTGTCTCCTATTCAGACACTATAACAGGTTCCCTCTCTGAGCCTGTGCTTCATGAGCTCTCTCGCTCTCTCTCGCTCTCTCTCGCTCTCTCTCGCTCTCTCTCGCTCTCTCTCGCTCTCTCTCTCCCCCCTACCCCCTCTTCTACCCTTTCATGTGACTACAACACCATGGCTTGTCAGTAGCAACTTAGGCATTCAATGAAGAATAGATTAGAGTTAGTCATTTACTGAATCCTTTGCTAGAAGTCCCTCTGGTATGTTGAACTTTCTTCTCTGAAATAAAACAAAAGCAGAAACATGCTTTGAAATCAGAAAGTCATTCTCCTGGATAGCTTCTAGCTTGCCTCTGTGACAAGAATAGAAAAAAAATTCCAATTTGTAGACATCTCTTGCCCCTCAGAATTGTATTATCTTCACAAATACGTTAAACAAATACGGTAAACGTTAGTTTCAGCTGTCTCTGTTAATATTTATAGAAATCTGCTAGCAATGCATTGCCATTCACAATGTATCCTGTAGCTTCCCACAATCCCACTGCTGAATGGGGGTTTCTTCATTCCGCACCAGGTCAGGGACGAGAGGAACATGCTCAAGGTGATGACCCGGATGCACCGCGTGGTGGTCATCTTCAAGCTCCTGGTGCAGCAG